TGGTTCAGGTGATGGTTTCCTGGAATTACTTATTTATAATATATTTTTTTAATGTTACCACTGATGTATCTTACCAAAGACCTATTTTTAAGAAAAGGCCTAAAACACATATTCCTGATGTGTTACTCATGGCTGAGAAAAAGAAAAAAAAAAACCTCGGGAAATTTCCTAAAATTGGATATTATAAATCCACAAGAGATAACTTTTACCTTCCACTACTTCAATCCATATTTGTACAAAAATGCTTTCAGTAATAGGCTTATGGTAGTTGTAACACAGCCTTTAACTTAGTCTACTTTAACAAATATTGATGGAGTTATTAGAAAACAATTAGTAAAAGACCCAAGGCAGTGGCTCTCAAATTCTTAGTTTAGGATCACCTGGAGGACTAGCTAAAACAAACCACAGGCTTCACCCCTAGAGTTTTTTATCCAATTAGATCTGAGGTAAGATCAGGGAATCTATAGTTTCAACAAATCCCCAAGGGATGCTGATGCTATTGATTTGGGAACTAATGATCTACATTAATAGAAGATTACTGATGATAGCATAAAGAGGAAAGAAGAAAACATATAGGGAACCCAATCTCAGCTCTAATATACTTGTATACTTTTGACTAGTAATTAATCTTCTTAAATGTTCCTTCAGAAAAATCTACACAGTAATTATTGATTAGTTAATAATATCACTGGATCTCATCTGACAGAACTTTAAAGTTCTTTTAGGGTCCTGGAAAAATGAAATCCAAAATAAGTAGTTTTTAAGTGACCAAGACATTCTATGTCTGACACAGGTGCTAGTTATATGGCCAACACTGGAAGTTCAACCTGTGAGTCTCACTAAGTTGCACAGCGAGTTTCCAGCACTAATCCTGGTCAGCTGCCTCGGAAGACATGCCAAGAGTCACAAGGGGAGTGGGTAAGAATGTGTGATTGGACACAAATCCATCACCACTACTGGAAAACGACTGAAAGGATATTTCCTATCAACATATCACCTCTAAGTGACTTTGAGACTGAAACTAAAGATAAGACCTTACAACAAAATGTGTCTCAGAAATCTCAAAAACTTTTCTCCCTTTTCAGACTACTAAGTACCGTCAAAATTCATGGAAACAAAAATCCAGGATTTGCTATTTTCAGATGATGATAATTTTAAAGGAAAACACATACCTTAAAAAATGTAATTAATTGAAGACTACGTTTTTGGGTATATTCTGTGTACCACCCTTTACTTTTCTAAGTTAAATGTAAACATGTGCATATAAATAAGTAAATATAAATGCTAATGAATTTATAGACTAGCAATGAACTTTTACACCAAAATAATCTGAGACAAACAAGTGGTGCCCAGAATAGCTACAGCATGAGGGTATATAAAGGATGAAAGAAATAGGCATTAAATAAAATGACTGACAAGATAAGTTAGACAGAAAGAAACCAAAATAATCAAGAGTAGCAGACAGAAAAGCAAGTTGGTGAAGGGAACACACTGTTGTGAAGATCTATAGGACTGAGCACAGAAAAGATAACATAATCAATTAAACCCGCTCAGTGTGTCAAGAGACACATATTTGTGTCAAGCAAAAATAACTTTAGCTTGAACCTGAAACTGTGGCTTTACAGGCCAAATTCAACATAAGAAAACGCTTTTTAATCCTTTGAGTGGACACAACATATAAAAGAACGATGAACATTCAGTCAACCATTCTTTATTCAAATGTTCACTGGGCACCTATCTGGCACTGGATGTGTCAGCATTTATTTGATTATGCATAGTAAAAAATAATCAAAGAAACCCACTCAAGTAGTGCATTTTATAACAGTGTACAAACTGAAAAAAATGGAAAACCAGACTAAGAAGGCCAAATACTACTAATATAGTGTCAAATTCTGCTGCATAACTTATACAAATCTAAGGCTCAGGCCTACCCTAGCTATCAAATCTAGGCCACAGTATTGTTTTAACTCTATCCGGTATAAGCCATACTTATGTCAAGAATCAGAGCAAGAACAACAAGAATTGAATTACAGAATATAGCTAGGTTGTCAATGTGCTGAAGTGAATTTTTTCCCAACTCTCTCTCTATGGGGCTAGACATATTGAAGAATGGAAAACAGCAGAATATACAAGAGCTACCGAACAGCTCACTGAAGTCAAGCAACTCCAAGCAAGACTCACCAAAGAAAATTAGTTTTTTTAAGGATGCATAACTATAGCTGATGAGGAAACTGCCAGCTGGATATCATATGAAAAATAAAATCACTCTTTTCTGGCCAAAAAGCATCAAGTCTATGATGACCTAGAAGGGAAGGCCTAGACCTGCAACAGCAACACGGAGATGACTACAGATATAGATTGACAGATATATAGATAGATACAGATATCAATAGATATCAAGATTCAACATGTGTTTAGTGTGAACTACAGAGCCCACAAAAGCCAGTTACCCAAATGCAATGGTGTGTCATTTTCAAAAAAACAATGGGCAACCAGAAAGACTAATGTATTGTTTTTCAGATTTATATTCTTCCTATATCCCAGAAAAGCATAAAACAACTTATAAATTAACACACTTAAATATAATATTATTTTTAAACTGAATTCATCTAATAGTAGAAGTACTTGAAGAAATTAGAGAGGAGTGTATTACCAACTTCAGTTACAAATCTAACCGAAGTCTCTTCGCTAAATTGTAGAGAAAGATCTGGTTACATAGTTTCTATTTTCAAACAAATGGGAAGAATACATTTTTTGCATAAACAATTTTTCTTGGAGCTAAATTCAGCAGAAATTTGTGTCAATGTAGTCTGTAAATGACACAAGAAACACACTGAACATATAAACTATTATTGTAGGGGAGGTATAAAAAAATTCACATGGCAATTTCCTAACTGAAAATCTGAAATTAAAAATTTCCTAATTGTAAAACACAGAAGGCATAAAAATAAACTACAACTTAACCGCAACATTTCTCCAAAAGGCTGAGATAATACAGTCCAAACATTGATATTTTGCTTCATCATAAGCTATCAAAGTAAAAATTTAAACTACTGTATAGCCATTTAGCAAAGCTATTATAATCATGATTGTCTACCCTGCCTCTGTATTAGAAGTACCTACAATTGACTGTTAGCCTAGATAAGTTTAAATTTAAACTTTCTTTTTTTTTCTTTTTTTAATTTTTTTTAAATATTTTATTTATTTCTAGGAGAGAGAGAGAGAGACAGCGTGAGCAGGGGAGGGTCAGAGAGAGAGGGAGTCACAGACTGAAACAGGCTCCAGGCTCTGAGCTGGCAGTCAGCACAGAGCCCGACGCGGGGCTCGAACCCACGAACCGCGAGATCATGACCTAAGCGAAAGTCGGACGCTTAACCGACTAAGCCACCCAGGCGCCCCTAAATTTAAACTTTCTAACAAATGTCTACAATGCAGCTATTCTATACTATGCTGCCTCCTGTGGTTCTAAACCCTCTTGCTTGGGTGGGATTACTGGTTGCCTCATTTGTTTTATGTTTTATCCTGAACCATAGCTGTCATTTGTAACTTTCCTATAAAATTATAATTTTCCAACATGTTTCCTGCTTAATTTTAAATCTCAGCTTTCTAAATTTCAGAGTAATAAACATAAAATTTTAAAAATACTTGAAACAAATGTACAATATATGTGATTGAATGCAAAGAAAAATTCTTGTCTCCTGGGTAATTATATCTACAAATTCAAAAAATGTTTATTGAGCACCTCTGACATACAGCTTCTCTGTTAAATGCTGGAAATAAAAAAATGAGTAAGGTCCTTGCCCTCCAGTAGCTTACAGCCTAATAAAAAAGACAATTAAACCAACAATTATACTGTGTTTGTTAAGAACTCTGAAAAAAGTGTGGGTAGGCTGCTACGAGTGCTTTAGGAAGATAATCTTAATTTGTAATGATGGTATCACCTAATAATTTCCCAATGAGATCTGAACAGTAATAGGAAAACATGGCAGTATCACCCATATTTAGTGAAGTCCAAAATGAATTAAAAGGGAGAAACTTCAATTTATTCAGAAGAAAATGAAAATTATGTTTTCATATAGCAGATCAGTATCTAATAACAATTAGACTATTTTTCGATGGGAAAAACCCTGATTTCATAGTGGATATATAATACACACAGGTCTTCTATTACTTCCTCCCAAATTTTTAAATCACTGTTTAAAACCAAAGGAAAAAATTCATCCAAAACATGTCTAGTTAATATTCACAACAGCTGTCTGCAAAACTGCATACGAAAGTCCTCCTCAAAATTCCAGGGGAAGAAAAAATCCCATCTGGTACAAGAGAAATAACCAGGAGAACCGGTAGTTCAAGAAGGAAGAAAACTACCACTCATTATTCACTCTGGGGTTAAGGGCTACTCAGATTCCTAGATAATGACTTTCCGCTGTAAGATTTAGAAAAGAAACGTTACAGTGGGCATTTTTATTTACATTTTTAAAACGCAAAGGGTGGTGGATGGTCAGAGTATAGGAAAAATCATGAAAGAGATAAGGAAGTGAAGTGATGGAAAAAAAGAGGAAAGGGTGGGCAAGAATCCAAAAATCAAAGACATACGGACAATGGAGGAAAGACTGAAGGATGGTTTTGAAAAGAGTACAGTACAGAAAGAAAGGCAGAGAGAGAGGAAATGAGGGATGGTGGCTGGGGGAAGGGCTGTCCAAAAAAATATTCGAGATGGAAAGAGAAACTAATGAACCGGGGCTGCCTCAACCAGGGATAAAAACGAGATCGTTGTACGAAAGGTAGAATCACCGATAAGGCGGCAGTGAGTTTTAACCTCCCTTTTCCCAGCCTCTAACCCCCACAGGGGGAGGAAGAAGTGGCTCCCAAGTCCCAGGGAAGGAATTTCGGCGCAGCCTTCGGAAGCACCGTCCGAGAGGTGGGGCACCAGCCAGCGGGTCCCCGGCCCCTCTCCATCCCTCTCGGGCGCTGGGCGGGGCCGCGGGCATCCTGGTTACCTGGACAGGGAGTCCACGCTGGGCGGCCGCGCCGCGGGCGGCTGGGAGCCAAGACTCTCGCAGCTCGAGCTCTTCTCCATGGCGCGGCGGGGGCAGCGGGAGGGAAAGGCTGAAGCGACCTCCGCGGCGGCGGGGCGGGAGGAGCGGAGGGCGGAGTGCGCCGGGCAGGGGCCGCGGTCAGGCCAGCGCCGGCCCGGGAGGGAGACCGGAAGCGGCCATGTTCCCCCAGACTGCACCGCGCCCAGGGGCCGCCGAGGAGCGGGAGGACCCCGCGGCGCCCCTCCGACTGCGGCCCCGACGCGCTGCGCTCGCTGCGTGCGCTCGCTGCGTGTCCCGCGCGGCCTCTAGACCCTGGGAAAGGGAGGTGGCCGCCCCGGGCGGGAGAGAGTCCCCGGAGTCTGAGGAGACGAGGACCCCGTGGGAGGAGAGGGAATTTTAGAAATGAGAGAGAGGATTAAGGGAATATTAGGGACTAAGGTCTCCGGGGAAGAAAGGGACAAGGCTGACAGGTAGGGGGATGACTGAGGCAGGAAAGGTGCGGGTCAAGGACAGTGAGACGACGGAGTAATAACGGAATGTGGGCCAGCAGTAGGGTGAAGGGGCAGACAGAACGTGGAGAATCACGAAGGGAAAGAACATAGGGGAACGTAAAGGGTGAGCAAACTAGGAATGGTGAAGTCTTCACCAGATTTGGGACCGAAACTAATAATTGAATAATTATTATTAAATAGCTATTAAAAGCTGGTTTAGCGAGTCAGACATGAGTTCAAGTCCTGCATCTGCCGGTTACATGCAGTGTAGCCCAAGGCATAGACTGTCGACTTCCTTAGCTGTAAAATAGGGAGACTAATGACTTCACGGATTGGATGAGTTAGTGCACATAACATGCTTTCAACAATTTTTGGCACATAGTAAGCGCTCAAATATTAGATGTTAATATTACTACCTACCTCATAAAGGTTGTTAGGATGCATATATTAATGCGTATAAAGAGTTCCTAATACAACTGCAATAAATGGACAGGAATATATAGGAAGGGTGGCAGGGAAGTGATTAGTATGGGAAAGGTAGTAGAGAAAGTACCGGACAGGTACGAAAAAAATTAATGCTCCTCATTCTATCTCCATTCCCCCACCGACCCAACATTATAGAAAAGGCACTAGAAAAGCAGACATTTTCAGTCCTGCTATGACTTGACTTAAAGTCTGTGTGGTCTGGAAGTGTGCAGGGGAAAAACACTTTGGTGTTAGTCCATGGCACATACAAGGATGTATGGAAGAGGAAAACGGGAACCGAGAAGTGCGCAAAAATTATTAGACACGTCTATATACTATTGTATGCGGTGGTGTTGGGTAGGGGACAAACCAACAATCTTTCCCTGCCCTCTCAAATTCCTGCAGAGCAGGAAGGGAGGGTAGAGAGATAAAACTGTGATAAGAGAATAGGAACTGGGTGAAGGGGAAATGTTCTGCTGGTAATTTTCTGTTACGGAAGACGCAGGAAGGACAAAAAAAAAAAAAAAAAAGAAAGCATAAAGGAACTTTTCTGATTGAGACTGAATCCCAGTTACCCCGTGTGTGAAATATAAAATGATGCAAAGATTATTTCTGTAAAATAACAGTGAATTGTTAAAAAAAAAAAAAAAAAGTCCTTGTTAGGATAGACAGAATTCTGTTCGTTTAAACTAGTGTTTTGTTTTGTTTTATGTTTATTTGTGAGACAGAGTGCAGGACCCAAGGAGGAGGAGCTGAGAGAGGGGGCATGAAAGATCTGAAGCAGTGTCTGATGACAGCAGAAGCCCTATGCAGGGCCCAAACTCACGGACCATGAGATCAAGGCCTTAGCTGAAGTTGGATGCTCAACCAACTGAGCCACTTCCGTGCTCCAAGCTAGGTTTAATTTATAGGGACAACTGATGTTTGTTTAAGAAAGTCTTACAGTATAGCACCAGTGAAATATTAACATGCAAGTACTCCCCCAAAGAACAACCTAACCTAGTCGTGTTCAGCATACTTATTAAAATAAAAAGGGTTTAAGCACAAAAGGCTCTGCCTTTTTTTTTTTTAATTTTTTTTAATGTTTTATTTATTTCTAGGAGAGAGAGAGACACAGCATGAGCAGGGAAGGGTCAGAGAGAGAGGGAGTTACAGACTGAAACAGGCTCCAGGCTCTGAGCTGGCAGTCAGCACAGAGCCCAACGCGGGGCTCGAACCCACGAACCGCGAGATCATAACCTAAGCGAAAGTCGGATGCTTAACCGACTAAGCCACCCAGGCAACCCAAGGCTTTGTCTTTCTGTTCCATTCTTCAGCTTGGTAAGGATAGGATGCCAGCTGATAGTTTTTATTTATATAATTTTTAAGGAGACCTTCAACTGTACTCCTCTAATAGGCAAAGAGAATAGGCAGTCACAAACACTTAACAAGCATAAACATCTACAGTGTTTCATAAAAGAACTTACTTACTGATTCCCTGTCTCTACCTGCCTTCCAAAATGCTGACTCAATGTCCCATGATACTTTGACATAGATTTTCTAATTTAAATTTGGTGAACCGCTGATGAATCCTTGAATGGGAGACCCGCGCACCCTCTATTACCCAGTTCATTTCTAGCACTGTATTAGTAGAGCACTTGAAACCATCTGCCTGATGATGTCGTAATTTGTATATGAGTCTATCTGGTGATTAATAAAGAACAATAATGTTACTGTAGAGACTTTGTAACCAGACAAATCGGAATTGGAATTGTGATTCTGGCACATATTTGCTCTATGATTTTGATTGGGTTGCTTCTCCAGCACTGTTTTCTCATCTCTAAAATGGGAATAAAGGTATCCACAGAATCAGTTGTTTTTCCTCATACAGAGTTGGTTACACAGTAGGATCTCAGTAAATAGACTTGTTGCTATTATCATTTGTTCTTCCTCTGAACTTAATTGCTTCTAAATATTAAAGCAGTAATTTCTGAGAGTGAACAATAAGCAAAACATACTTGAATCTCAGCTGAAAGTTAGATTAGTGCTTAATTCTTTTTCTGACATGTTGGCTGCTATGTCACCTAAAGAGAAGTCCCTTTAGTTAGGACTTTCTGCACCTCAGTTTTCTTATCTTTTTAAAGAACATTTTAGCCTATCCCAGGTCTTTGGGAAGTACTGCTATAATTAAACTATAGTGTAGGTTCATCTTGTAGCTGGGGCACAAGGGCACAAGAGCACCTGGCTCCGGGGGGCCCAAACACCAAGTTCATCCACTCCCTGAGAACAAAATCCAAAGGCAGAGAGATGAGTGGTGGCGAAACAAGAAAGGACTTTATTTGAGTGAGGCCAATACTGAGGAGACACCCAACTGCCCTCTTGACTATCTCCAAAGTGCTGAAAATACTTCCAGGTTTATATAAAGAAAGTGTGAGATAAAGATCAGTGGGCAGTATAGGTTAAATCATTATCTTGTAGTCAATCATGGGCAGAGTCTCGCTGGCTCAGAGCAATCCTTACGGGCTGAGAGGATAGTTTTTGTTCTCATCACAGAATGCTTTGCCCATGGGGTCTTTTGCCTGAGTAAGAAATAAGCTGGAGGTGGGGAGTGGGGCAGGGGCACACTGGGTAGCTCCTGGGTGGCTCAGTTGGTTAAGCATCTGACTCTTGATTTCGGCCCAAGTCTTGATCTCACAGTTGGTGAGTTGTGCTGACAGCACAAAGCCTGCTTGGGATTGTCTTTCTCTCTCTGCCCATCCACCACTCTTGCCCACTCTCTCTCAAAATAAATAAATAAATATTTTTTTAAAAAAAAGAAGAAATAAGCTAGAAATAAGAATTTGATCAGTTAAAAAGTATAGATTAAAGTAGAAATGAAGGTAGTTGAAGTCCTCTTTCAATCTCTCCTATTAAATGGTTAACTTAAGATCTTCCCAAAGGTAATTTTCTTATTTGAAATCTAGGCCAATGTTTCTCAAGTTATCTGTGAAAAGAACCAGTGTTTTGTTTTTAATTTCCAAGCCGTCATCAACTAATGCTTTTTTTAAAATATGAGAAAAATTAATTACTAGGTAAATGAAACTTAAGCAAAAGCTGAAGGCATGCAAAATACAAGGCCAACTTATTTTTCTTATACTTAACAGATATGAAATTACTTCATCAAAGTTGCATGAACGTTTCTAAATACATATTCTCAATTCTCTCATCTCATCACGGACAGTAAGAAATAGTTCATGTATAGGCTAGCAAATCACAATTTGAGTAGCACTGACTTGGATCTATAGGTTTGTTGCCTGTCAGCTTATCAAAGGCTGCTTATTAGACAATCTGAATCAGAGCAAAGAAATAAACTTCTCTTGAGATGGTAAAATGGTGGGTTAGGATTGGTCAAGTAGAGGGATTCTTCTCTTAAGACACACATGCCAAGGGCATAATCCTGAGATCAAGCATGCATAAGTCTTATAATTAATTATTTATATTTAAAAATTTAATTTTTTATTCCTTTGGTTTTGAGAGTTCCACTTCTAGTATGGGGAAGTAAGCTTCTAACAGACTGACCTTTCCACAGATAACAACTGGAAACTCTAGACAGGCAAACAACAATCTGACGAGTAAAGAGAGTGGACAAAAGTACACAGAAGCTAAATGCATAATAAGTGATAAAACAAAGTGCCTTTCCCATTTTGAGTGACTTTGACCTATGGACAGACCAAAATTGTGGTGTGGTGCAAGGTGGCAAAAATTCACATAAAAAGCCTGCTATCTTGGGGTGCCTGGGTGACCCAGTTGGTTGAGCACTGACTTTGGCTCAGGTCATGATCCCCCCGTTCATGGGTTCGAGCCCTGCATCAGGCTCTGTGCTGACAGCTAGCTCAGAACCTAGAGCCTGCTTCAGATTCTGTGTCTTCCTCCCTCCCTGCCACTCTCCTGCTTGTGCTGTTTCTTTCTCTCAAAAATAAATATTAAAAAAATTAAAAGAAAGAAAGCCTGCTATCTTTCTGGCCTGAGGAACCAAGAGACGGGAGCCCAGGGCAGCAAGAGAATGAGGGAGGAATTCCAAAAAAGAGAACCAGGGAACTTTAAACTGTGTTTATAAACTGAGACAATCACTGACCAAACCCTAATTCATTTTGAATAACAAAGGCATAATGCAAATAGCTACTATAAATGAACTCAAAATAGAATATCCTTCTACTCTTCCAGAAAAAAGAACTGAAGCTAGATTTAAGCTCTTACCCACTATACACAAGTCAAAATTTTCAATTATATGCTAAGTTAATTTCTTACTACACAAAAGCATCAACAGTTTACACAGAAATAAAATAGAATACAGAGATTCCAAAACAATGTTCATAATGTCAAGGACAAAATTTAAAATTACTTGGCATAAGGGGCACAGTCTGTTGAGTGACCAACTCTTGATTTTCGCCTTAGGCCATGATCCCAGGGCCATGGGATCAAGCCTCACATTGGCTCCATGCTGCGTGTAGAGCCTGGTTGAGATTCTCTCCCTCCCTCTTGCTCTCTCTCAAATAAAAATTTAAAAATTAAAAAAAAATTACTTGACATAAAAACTAATAGGAAAATAGGATTCATTCTTAAAGGAAAAGATATTAAAGAGAGGCTAAGTTCTGGATGACACAGGTATTGGAATTATCAGGCAATGACTCAAAGGCAACTAATATAACTATGTTCAATAAGGTAA